TAACGAGGCGGACACGAGGTAAAACTACCGGTTAGATATCCAGCTGTTTCTGAAGTTATAGTCATTCTTTGGTACGCTAACATTTATGACTTTTTGGCGATCCTCGACCGATTCGGTCTTCTTTTCTTTGATGAAAAACGTAAAATTATGAATAGAGTTATTTTTGTTGTTCATTTTTTCGATTCCCTGTGGACCTTCACAGAATATTTTTAGACAAAACTGGTATACAATTTACAACAGTTTTAAACGTGGATTGACTAAGTGTGTGGGTAATGGGAGGCACTATACTAATATATTCCATATATACGTACTTATCGGGAGTGCATTGATTAAGCTTTCTGTGATATATGACGTAGTGACGTCATCAAATCTTGTAGCAAGTTAGCAGGTAATACAATGACAAAAGATAAGATAAGATTCTTTTTACACCTGACGAAAAACAAAATGACGAAATGACAAATCAATTTGAATATTAAATCTAATAAGTTTAAAACACCAAATTCGTGAAATCAAATGTTCGATTTAGACTGCAATATCTTCAAACGCGAAAAATTATAGTCGGCACGCTTATTTGTTATACTGTGTGACGTCACATGTTTCCAATTTTGGCAACCAGTATGTGAATGTCTGATGATAAATGTCTCTCACTGATATGTCCTAGCACACGACCTGCTGCGACAACATTACCCATAAGTTGTTTTATTAACAGCAACGCGAACATGTATATTTAATAACAACAGCAATGCACGGCGCAGTTATTTTATCCCCGGTTGAGAACGACCGGTCCCTGCCAACAAGTCACTGCGCACAAGTACGCGCGCAAAAACGTAAACAAGGGCGGCGGCTACGGGGCGGAACTACGTCACAGAACGTTCTATGTACTTCTATGGGTACTGTGCGGGGTGCTGTGGAAAGCCAGACCTCAGACTAGTAATACAACAGACTCGCAACGGCTATTGTTTAAGGTGTTAATCGGCTTAATTGTATATGCTATGCGTGCCACGCTCTGTAGCATTGGCATAGACACCATCGAAGTTTACCGAACACTGGATATTCTGCACACTTCGCGCTTCTTCGGAAATTGCGTATTTCTTTGTAAAACGGATCCGGATATTTTTTAAAAAACGGGAGATGCGTTCTTGACATTTTGACCTTTGCAGCTGTGTAAGAATTTTAAGAATCGACCAAGAATCAGGGGAGTTACAAGTAACTGAATGTGTTAGTGTTTACCTCAAATAGTTTTTGAATATATAATGAGCAACTTTTATTACTAGTCTGAGGCCAGACGAAGGGCCAGAGAAAACAGCTAAAGTCGAGGAAACGGCACAAACGCAACTTTGAAAGTAATCCCGAGAAACCATATGTATATTATGTTTAGGTTTCACACGCAGGCCTGGGGGGGGGGGGCAATCTTGTTACACTGTTCCCAAAGTATCGTTTTCTGAGAGTTGTCGGCCTCTGTTTCCACTGGTTGCCAGAAGGTGAAAATGACCAGATGTCCACCCACTGGCAGAGAAGACATTGGTCTGGTAATGACACGCGAAGTCCGAAAGTTGATGACGTCATCGTAAATAAGTACCCTCACGCTCTTGAAACCTGGAGTGAACCGGGTTACATGAGTCACGTGACAGATACACTGTTACGTGTTCATATCAATTCTAAATGAAAAGGAAGTACGCGTAATACACGGTCCCTAACGTGTGCATATTAGTGGCTTTCAACAGCTACTACGTAATCCACACGTGATTAATTTACTCCTCCAATCCCATTAAATTAATTAATTTTGGTATCTACCAGATAAAACCACACTCACTTTATCTCCATGCGCTTATTATTACGCTTAACGCGAGTGACGTAAATATGAGATGATTATGTCATCGCGGTCGACAGGTATGAAAACAATTATGACCAAACCCGGAAAAATTGAGACTCATTTATATCTGCCTCTTTTCTGTCAATATCAACATCAAGTTTAATGTGTTTCAGGAATACACGTGATAACGGCGAAGACGGGAAACGGTTTTTTATTAATTACGAGGCTCATCAACATCCCATATCAGCAAAAAATACACACAAAATATAATATACCTACATTTAGCGTAAATTAATGGGGAGTATTATCGCGTGATCTGCGCAATGTTCTGCACATGCAAAAACAACCTGTATATATTTTCCCGCATAGCTATTAATGTACACTTAAAAACGTTGATGGACATACATTTATTTATGTAAATAACCGGGTATGTAGGATAAATATCATAATTAATGCAGCAATTCGCAAATTTACGTTAACATTTACGATATTATAATTGCATGGTAAACACTTATAATCTACGTCGGCTAATCCGGAAATTATCCCGTGCCGGTGATTGCTGTATACTTGTACATATATAACCACCAATTCTATGTTTATTGATGAACGCCCAGCGCCCAATAGTATTTACATAAATACTTGCATAATATTTACATTGTAATAATTCTGATGTAAACGTCATATAATAGGGATTATAACCACTATGCAAACTGAACTCGCCAACATTATTACTGTTTGATGCATACATGGTCTGAGGTTGAGTAGTGTATATAACTAAATAAATGACTGGGTTTTATTTTAGCTTATTTCACTGATGGCTTATTGTGTTAAATTAAAACCCAGTTAATATTTAAATGTAACATGATAATGTATTGTTTTCTTCACAAATTAGTGATTTTAAAACCTATTAAATGTCCCTGTAAGCAGCAAATTACACCCGCTTAATATCTTCCACTCCACAGTATGTCTAATCATTAAGGCAAATCGCTACCATTAACACATAAACAAAATTGATCACAGTAAATCATTCAAAAACTGTTGTATGATGATTCACATACATGCAAGTCATTCATATTTAACGTTTTTACAAAGAAAGAATGATGCGTTTCCAAGACAACATACGCAAACACATTTTCCAGGGATAACTTATACTAATATTCAAAAAATTTTCGTATATCGTTTTTTTAACATATGTCACTTAACAATATTTTGAAATATGATGGAATGTTTCTACCGTAGGAACCAATTGTAAACTGTTCAAAAAAACGCATTTTTGATCAATTTCCGAGGTCGTTTTATGGAAAACTTAGTTCGGTTATATTTTTATTTCAGGATTGTGAACAATACAGTACCCCAACCCTTTTGCTGGATTTCAGGGATTTCTTAATATATTTTTTTTTTCAATGATAGCAAACTATCTTCAAGTTATACATGACTTCGGAAAATCATACATTCTGGGTATGTACTTATATTATATACCAACAACAAACATTTCTATTATTTTCAATTTTTGCTTTGTTAAACTGTTTTACTTCAATTAACAAATGCTTCATTTCTTTAAGAATTTTTCAATTCATAGTGATGTTTACGCCCACAAAGTACCAAGATGTGTGGCCTTTTTGAGTCACGCATAATGCCTATTGGGGTCAACAATGACCTAAAACCACGGGATCAGCACGCGGCATACTGTATGTAGGCAAACAGGTCACCGAGGCAGTATACTGGTAGCAGAATGACGCTTCCATCGTAAGAATATAACTATACTGAATGGACTATGCTGAACTTTGTTACACATGGGCTGTAAGAACGTTTGACTCGTCAGTTGTCTTTTCAAATATAACCTCTCGATGATTGGTCAGTTATCGGAATTATGTTAATTATGATATGCTAATTGAGAAACGACATATCTGAGTTATACGTGTATAATGGTCAATGTAATATTATAGAAAATATTGAGCACAAAAAGGTCAGTCATGTACAACTTAAAAATCATATGAAACGTATACGTATGATGACGTGATATATGTTTGTCAATGATGATGTAAGTGCCAGGCTAAGTAGCAAGGGCCAATTCTGATCACAGAAACAATCGACATTCTTCTAATGTAATCTCTACAAATGACGTCACAATTACGTAATATCGGTGGTTTACCGGGGTCATTATCACGTTTTAAATTGGAATATAGGCCGCCATCCCACATGACGAACTTTTGTAATAACCATGCAGCAAACAATAGAAAATTTCCTTAATTTACTTTGTAAATTTTCTAGGCATGTGGGTAAGTGTACACTATCGCATACTGAAAGAGAGATAACATAGGTATTACGTAACACTGTCATGGCCAAAATTAGTGAAACGGTTGTGCAACAGCTGTTATAAAACACTGGAAACCATCGTGCTATTGAGGCTACCACGACATCGGCTGCATGGGAAAGGCCACGTTGTTTACAAATGCACGAATACAATACCTCTTGTTGACGGTCTCAACAATTGATACTCATACCGTCGGCATTCACAACTTGAGCGACCACGATCGTGATGTCACAGGGACAGAAGTGACGTCAAACTAGTCGCTATATTTCATAATTTTTTTTTTATTTGCTTTTTTTTAATCTGAGCTCCATAACAACGCAGTTGTCCGAACACCGTTTGCATTGTTATTTTCGCACTGACCATGGAACGGAACTACAAGCCATGCACTGACGGACATGGGCTATTAAAATAGAATACTGTGAAATGGTGCATAGGGGTGTTGGAAATACTTCCGCTGTACGTTTCATCACTGCTATTTGTGTCGTCGTGCCAGTGACCGTGTCTCGCCCCGCGGGAAAAAAAGCACATCGAATGAGTGGTAACTTCAGTTTTATGTTATTCATTGTCTCTCTGTATAGCTACTATAGCTGTACTGAATTGTATTTATCAAACAAACATGGTATGTGACAATCGCTACTACCTAGTTAGTTCACGAGAACTTATGACGAGAGGAGATATGCTGGTACTGGCCCCTAGAAGCGAGAACGACCGACACCCGGTCGAACGGACATTTTCTGTGAATCGACCGTACTCCATATATGATCAAGTTCGTTTGTATAGCTGCGGTCACTGTCGATGACATCTACGGTCACTGTTTTACAGGTATTCGGGGAGAACAAGTCACGACAACAAGTAAAACAAAATCCTACTTACCCATCGTGTGTTAAGCAAGAGCCGGGGTGTGGTGATAACTTGGATGTCAGTAAACTACATGGGTGAATGCAGACCCGTATAAATGAAAGTAGACATAACTGGAGTTCCTTTCTGGTGTTAGCACACACACACTCAAACATAAAACACGCACAAACTACCTCATTTGAATAACAGTATGGTAACTAAATATAAAGACCACGTACCTGTAGATTACAATTGATTGGTGGGCGGCCAGTCAGCAGCCTAGACGAGGGCACTTATTTGCATATATGACATCGAAATCCCAACACCGAAAACCCATAAAACGCGGGTTACGCTCTCGAAAACAAACACACCCAGTGTATAGTTCCCCTTGTACGCGTTACATTAAATTGAATTATACAATTTCACGAAGAGGTCCACAGTGGATTCGCTGTCACATCTACCATAGCCGATGTTGATAGGGCGTGAGCTGGAGATCGCCTCTAAATAAACCGACGATGCACAATAAACAATTAAATTAATGATGAACCATAAATTGTAGGAACGTTGTCTTTACAATGCGTCTTGGACACCTTTTTTTCTCACGCCACGGTCCCTTACGCGTGTAACTTTCACTGGGTGTGCCCGCCTCTGATACGACCGCCGAAATACTTAGTAATAAGACACTGACGATAAGCGGACCATGCTCGACGACACTGAAGTTTATTTTACGTGAAGCGACAATTAATTGGATGTAATGTGCTGTATCTTGTCAATTTGAATATACTAGTTTTACTGATTAATATAATGTTTTTATACAGAGTTGCTAGTCCCATGGCAATTCAATGATAACAACGGCCACTACAGGCTGTCGTATATCTCATTAATTTCCCCTTCCCATTCATTTCATTTTTTATTTAGTGTCTTTCTGGCACAATGAGTTATTGACAGTACATTTATGCTATTGCATGAAATTTCGCCCATTCTCCCCGGCGTCATTATCACACATGGATTAAATGTAAAAAAAAAGTGAAATACCATGAAACGTGATACTTTTTGTAAACGACAAAACAACAACCGACAATTGACTAATTAAAATAATAATAATAACAGCTTTGAATATTAATGTATAATTTTCTTGCCAATTGATATTCAAACTGCGCACATTAAAGCCACCTGCCACATCCATTACAGAATGGCATCGACTAGGTATTTTCCTATAAATGACTGTCCAGTCAAATCACGTGACACACAATAATTAACACAATGTTGTTTATATTGTAAAACCGATTCATTACCATGGTAACAAAACAGTGAAATGTACGTAGATACTTTTGTAATAGAAGATAGAATACTCGCTGTTTTCAAAAAAACACATTGAAATAGCTACATATCATTTTAGCGAATTTGATTCAATGCATGAATTAACTGAATCTTAATTTAGCTAAATTGCCAATAATCTTACTGTAAGAATATACTCTATTCTAATTAGCGACATTCTAATTTAGCGAAATTGCGGATTAGCTAAATTGGCTAAAATAACGTGCTAGCTAAAAAGACATGTTTTACAGTATACTACGTCGTCCATATATTTTCTACTTACCGATATTCTTGTTGATTGCCGCCAGTCATTTGTTTTGTGTTCTTGGGTTTGTAAATTGTCCTTTGATTGTAGAACTGGATATGTGGGCGTGTTGTTACGTAATAGATAATGAACGAGTTTCGTAATATCTGCGTCACAAAAGAAGCTTGCAAAGCCAAACCAGTTCGATATCTGATTTACTCTGCGTGTAGAACGAGATATTTCAACGCTTGAATAATCTTTTGCAACCTATTTTGCAGCGTGTATTTGCGTTTGTGTATTTGGCTAATTATAAAAAAGCGCGACTTGAATTGCAAAAAATGTGAAACTGAGAAAACAGAGAAATCAAGAGAAAATCAAATCAACGTCATTATTAAATACATCGAGCAAACGTAAATATGACGCATTGATGAAGCAACCCTGGGTGACTTGAGTGAAACTAGCCGTGGGGTCACAACTTTTTTCTTTGTCGGTCTTTCTGGTACATTTGGTGCCCTTAAAGTTGTTAGTTTTTATACTGAACGTCACTGAAGAGCTATGGTTCCCCCCATAGACTTGTGTAACACAGACGTGCGACACCAAATGTTATTGCAAATACAAGTCGATAAAAGTACACCATTTCTTAATATCACGCAATTTAAACTATCACCAATCGATAGCATGTTTATTAATTAAAACACTCGTCAGCGCGAAAATCATGATAAAATTTTCTGTTTTCCAGGGATTCAGATCACGAAACCGTATGTAACTCTGGAGACAACAATTTTTTTGAGGTCGAACGATGACAAAATTACTCAGGGCTAAATGACATCACTGGAGTAGAACTTCCCAGGCAAAGTGGAACCGCTAAAACGTCAGGGAATGGTTGTCTGCTGCTGTCAGTAGTTTGGTATGGATCTCTTGGTCTTTACTGTTGTTATATAATTATTTTCCCTACATTCTATATTGAAGAAAGTGGCTGCCCCCAAATCCCGGGGAACAAACATCTACCTAATCGTTTTTGTCGCGTTTTTCGCTTTGGTAAAAGTTTAATAAATATATTATCGGTTTGCGATAGTTTCGATGGTTTGATGCGAGAAACTATTCTACTTTTGTCAACTTTCATTTGCATGTTTGTGTTACGCAAGTCTAAGGAATTTGTGCTTTATGTACAAACATTGCTAGTTTTGTAATTATTTGGTCAGATTTATTTGACATAATGGAATAATTTTTTTCTAATGTTGGATAAGTATATGACCATGAGGGTAGTATTTTTTTTCTAATGTTTTCATACATTATGACGGATAATGACGGGGTCAAGGGTCATCGATTGCGGTTTGCTGGTGACATCGTCTCGCGGAAATTTTGAAAAATTTAAAGACACCAAATATATCATAAATTACTAAATTTTACCATCACAAAGACCACAGTCCCTCAATTGCAAAAACTAGAGGACCGACACAGGAATAGCTTTGGACTCGCAGCTACAGTGAAATAGCCAACGTCAACTTAATTAGCTAGTTTTATCGTTGACTGGTGAAGGTAGCGAATACTATTTCAAAAAAGACACAACTCTCCGAAATATAGGTCTATTTAAATAAAATTTGAAAGAAAATGTCCACCAGAATACATAAATCAATAACACGAAAACACTGATTTAGAATTAGTTTGCCAAAACAAACTTTTACAGTAGATTTTTGGAGCTAAATAGTTCGTTTTTTAGTGGTTTAAAACTAATTTATTCAAATAAGTTTTGTTTTTGTTTATAATTTTGGCGGCAAACTGTTCATAAACGCACGTACTATATGAACATACTTGTATATCAAAGAAACGCAAACACAAATATGTTAATTTTGGAGTCAGAGCCTGTTTTAGTAAAAAATATCACGAATTTATCTCGTGTAACATGTACCTTCCATACGACGGATATGTTTGATACCCCGATACCCAAAATGGGCTATCGGTGATCTCATTAGTCGATGCACGCAAATCGAAAGTAAAACGCCACAGTGGGGCAGAGGGGTGGGTGTCCCATCGAAAAAAGGTTACTACGGGGTGACGTCGTATCAGCAAAATTTGCCCCTCAAAATGCAGGAAATAGCATTTCAGAGGGTCTAGATTTCAAAATTCAAGAGCTCGCCCCTCATCAAAATTCGTGCCGCCGCCTCTGCGTCATCTCCAACTTGTAAGATGCCAAAACATGACTCATTTTTGGCGACTTATAATGTTTTTAACTGAACATAGTAACCATTAAATGTATCCCTGTATATCAGTAATTTAAAACGTTTTCGACCCTAACCCTAACCGAGTCGGTAGCGCAAGGGATTTGTTCCTCCGATGTATCGATCGCCAAATTCACATAAAATATGCGATAAATTGGTATTATTAGAATTATGTCCAAAGTTAGTGAAGATTTTACAAATATGTCCCTGAAACGTGTATATATTTTCCTCGAAATCGTTTGGCGATAGGTAATTATCGCTAACTGTATTCAAGAAATGGCATTCCTGTACGGGAATGGAATGAGATATGGAACACAGAGTCTATGATTTTAGTTAACGACAAAGGGATGAAAAAAGGATTACAAGAAATAAATAATCTCCAATTCATGACCATCTGACCGTCTCGGATTTCAACTCGTTTTATTGAAAGAGTGTAGCAAGTGTCATCTGTTCCGAGACTTTGACATACACATGAAATAAATCCCATATCACACGGCCAATCACTGTAGATTTTCAATATCGGAAAAATACGTCATCTAATTTATTCAAAAGAATGTGATTCACCAATAAACAAACAAACATATAAGAAATTGAAAGCATGCGTGTTAAAATGATAACATTAATATTCTTTTATTATTCATTTTATATCATTAGTATATCCAAAGAATCGGTTCAAGTTGTTTATTGTAAAACTTGTACATTTTAAAGGAGGACACAAACTGATACTGATTCTGCACTAAGGTTTTCATGGGAAAATCACATATTAAAAATGCTAGAAAATATTCATTCCCAGTTTATTCGGCCGAGAAATACTATCCGTGTCTTATTTTATGTTAAATTTATACGTCTATATTCGGCCGAGTACCCGGGAGACTGAGCGAGCATTGTCTGCATTTATTTCCAAGAAATGTTGAAATAACACAGAAAATAATGTATACCAGTAGTCAGCTCTGATTGGGTGACGAGTATTACTATCCATGGAGTCCAATACAATTTACAGAATACTAGTAGTTCATTATAAATATAGGGGGGTTTACTATTTAGGAGTTTACAACTGAAGGATTTGTTTCTAACAAACTAGATGACGTATACAGTTCATTGATTTTGATGATAAATTTCACTACTAAAAAAATAATTTCTGTTTTGAAAACGAACCCCTTAGCATATTACTCTACTTATGAATCCAAATATTCAGAATTTATTCATTTCCAATCAATTTTACTTCCAAGCAATATTGACATAAAAATTCGGGGGTCGCCAGCCAAATTTTCGAGAAAATGATTGTTGTATTTTAGTTGATAATGGCCATTTTGTCATGCCAGTGTGGACCAATTTTCTCAAAAAATTATGTGTAGGCTCCTACCTTAAATGAATTAGTTTTGAACTAAAACCAAATTAAAG